AAAAAGGTCTTTACCTGGCGCCGAAAAACCAGTAACGATGGTGCCAGGCGGACCTCTTTGGGGAGTGAATTCCATAGGTTGGGCGCCACCGCAGAGAAAGCCCTCCTCCGAGTACTTACTCAATACTTACTTACATTCCAGTGTTGACTCGGATGTTTTGTTTCTGTTAAGGCTTAGCTGTTGCAGAGTAGAAATTTGATTATCTCCTTCTGCCATGAACTCACTAGGTGGCCTTAGGTGAGCTGGTCTCTCTGAGCCTCAGCACTCCTCCTCCAGGTTGGCCACTGGTACCAAAGTTCCCAGCCTGTTTTGGCTTTGAGCTCTTGCTGCAAAGGAAGTCACACGGCTCGACCTTCTAGAAGGCACGGGTGATGCACAAGAAGCGGAACATCACCAGAGGGTTGGGGATTGGAAGACAGGGCCGTGGGTACTTACACTGGACGGGGGCCCTCTCTGAATGCTCTTTTGCATGTATGACTCGGTCGGCTGCAGTGGCGATGGAAAACTGGTGCATTCAGAGTCTTCTGCAGTTTATGACACACACACGGCTCATTTCCTGAGTATCAAATTTTGGCTGCTCAACCATTGCAGAAGTACCCAAATGATGGCCCAGCCTCCTGAGCTGATGACTAAAGCCCAGATGTTTCCCCAGACCAGAAGAAAATACTGTGAGTGCTGTTGTAAGAACTGACAAATAAAACTCCCCCGTTTCAGATGGGTACTAATAAGTGTGCTAGTCAGTCAGGAATGACAGCCTATGGCACCCGGAGACACCTCTATGACCCCAAGAACCAGATCCTTCCTCCGATGGATCACTCTACCATCAGCCTGCAGATGGGCACAAACAAGTGTGCCAGCCAGGTAGGATCCGACGGGCGGGCCAGAGGGGGCCTTGGGGCAAAGCTGCACAGGTGGGGTGTCCTTTGATGTTTGGAGCGCATTCAAGCCGCCCTGGAATACAGGACGTTATTCATGGATTCTGCGCCCAGCTCAGACCTCCTGCCTTGCAGAACTTACCCTTCCCGGTGCATTAACCTGCCCGTGCCAAACTCACTGTCGCTTCCTGTTTTCTCCCTCAGGTGGGCATGACTGCTCCCGGCACCCGCCGGCACATCTATGACTCCAAGATGGGCACTGAGAAATGTGATGATAGCTCCTTGTCTCTCCAGATGGGCTACACCCAGGGAGCCAACCAAAGCGGGCAGGTTTTTGGCCTGGGCCGCCAAATCTATGACCCCAAGTACTGCTCTCAGGGCAGTGCGGGTGAGGTCGCCAACGCAGTGCCAAGCGAAGAAAGGGATTCGGCTGACGGTTGCTCCAACCAGGAAGACAGCCCATGAGAAAGCTACTCTTTCCTAATCTTCTTTCCTAACTGTTGCCCTACATTTCCATCTCTGCTGCTGGTGATAGTTCAGGCCATATTCTTGCAACTTTTACAAAAGAAATATCCATCTTCCACATTCCTCCTCTCCCCGTTCAATCAGAGATAAAATAAAAGGTTTTCAGATTTGGGTTTTTGTTTTTAGCAAGCGAGTTGGGTTTGTTGTTAAGGTACTGTGAGTCAAAGCTGGGTCTGGCCTCTCCGCTTCCAAAAAGGAGAGACTCTTTAATTTGCAATTTGGAATGCTGCTGGGTGCCGAAGCAGATCAAGGAGGGCGTGGAAATTCAATGCAGGCTGTATTATCAATGGCGGGATTCTGCAGGATTCTTCTTCGGCTTGGTCTTCCTGGTGGAGATGAGCCACTGCTGGAACGCCACCTCCAGCACTCCGCAAGGAGAAATGTCCCTCTTGCTAGCCCGTTCCAGGCATAGAGCAAAGGTTTTGACTTCAAAATCGCAGGCATTTTTACCTGGCCGGTAATCTTGGTGGTGATGTTTGTCCTGCAGAAGAGCTGCATCGTGTTGGCTAGATGTACAAGATGGTTAGACGGTTGATCTAATAACATCCTTCCTTAATTTGTGAGGACCCACCACGCACACATATATATCCCCACAGCCTAATGCCATGGAGGGAGAGGTGAGAATTACAGCGGAGATGCTAAACGTTGCGCTCGGAAGCATGCCTGCTCCCTGTGTTAACACGAAATTACGGAGATTCACGCATTCCCTATGAAATAATCTGCTTTGAGACTTAGCTGAACGATAACTCTGATGCATTTTTCAAGAACATTCTTTGATCCAGTAAGTTAGCCAGTAATCACGTTTAGCAGAGTCTTTCTGAAGGTAGTTTTGGCAAGGAGCATTGTAGTGGAACCAACAGGTAGATAAGGTAGAGGTGAATTTGTAAAGAAATATCATTGTGGGTTTGAGTCAAAGAGTAGAATTTGACAGCTTTGTCTTGATTTAGAAATTTCCACCCTTTGGCTGTCTCTTCAAAGACCAGCACCATTTCCTTTTCCAGAGATTGGGAAGTTGAGTATTTCAGTATTTAGGTAGCAATAGTTTGTGGCTTTCTATTACAGTGAAACTGAGACAGTAAGGTGGGTTTGTGCAGAAGACTAACCTGCATTCCTTTAATTATTTGGTTTCTATATTTGATGTTTTTAGTGTATAGTCCAAAGTAGGGAAACAGCAGACCAATTCCTAGTTGTATTAGAAATTGTAGGATCTTTTGTTATCTCAATTTGGTAGAAATTTGTTAGAATTTGTTGGAAAAGCTGTACTTTTCTTTAAACCTTTATCAGCTGTTGTGTTCTTAATACTGTGTCTCCTTTTACTAATATGTTCCCCTTTAAAACTAAAACTGGACAGTCCCACACATAATTGGGACTATAAATGCATTAGCTTTTGCAATGGGTAGGTTGTGGGGCGCGAATGTATGGGGTGTTCTGAGAGGGCTCTCTGAGCCCAGTGGGGCGAACTGACACACTGTGAACTTGTAGTGTTTTAATATAAGCAATAAAAAAGCTTTCATAGCAAAATGGGACTGGAGTTGTGTTTTTTGGGGTGCAGGGGGAACAGCTGGAGGGAGAAAAAGCAGGGATTGCTCAGGAAAGACATCTGAACTGCCCGAATCGGAACCACAAAAGTAAGCTCCGGTTGCTCTGACTTAGAAGTAAGTTGTTCCGAGTTCAGTGGAACTGGTTCCAGGATGCACCCTAAAGCCTTGCTGGACTACAATTCCCAGAATTCCACAGCCACGTTGGCTAGGAGATTCTGGAGATTCTAGTCTTCACACATCTGGACTGCACCAACTTGGTGAAGGTGTGAAATGTGAGGTTGCAACCTGAGATCCTAAGGCACACAACTTCATGCTTATTATTTAAGGCTTGTATGTACCATCCACAGTTAGCCAAAAGGCTCTTCAAGCTATTTATTTATTAGATTTATATCCCATCTTTTTCTTTTTTGAAGAGCTCAAGGTGGCTTGCATCATTCTGTTGCTCTCAGTCTTCTCCCCACAACAACAACCCTGTGAGGTAGGCTGGGCTGAGAGTCTGTGATTGGCCCAAAGTCACCCAGTGGGAACTAGAACTCAGATTGCCCCTGCTCTTAAATACTATACCACACTAGTTCTCAGTCCTATTTGAAAGCTAAGAACATTGGGTGTTCGGGTTAAAGATAAAGGACACTTATATTTTGTCTATCTTTAACCCAAACATCCAATTTTCTTAGATCAACAGATCAACTCTTGAAAACAAATGCTGTCAAGGTATGATTATAAATGGGTGAACCTATACCATCCTTGAATTTCCAGGTACCCAGATTCTTTTTTGCACTGGGAAACAAAACTCCCTGGCTTTCATATGCGTATGTTTTACTCAGCTATATCAATTTACCTGGGAATCACCTGCCCTCTGTTTGGTTCAAAAGCAAAAAGGTAATTACTCTTTATGAAAAGATCTGTTCTGAACACATTGTAAGACAGTGCTAAGTTTTTAATCACAGCTTAAAAGAAACCTCCACAGCTGCAGGGTATGAATTTCCAGTCTGTGTACTTCCGTGTTCTTCAGGCCACGCACTTAACATGTACAGAAGACTAGATATCATACATGTTCTGCATGGAAAGGGAACCATGTGCGTGTTCCAATGGAGATCACTCCTCTCCCTGCCACAGTCTGGACAGTGGATTAAGACTGCACCCCACATCGTTCCCAAAACACCCAGACACTTCCCTTCAGCTAGCATCTTATGCGCCTCTTAACTCTAACTTCCCAAGATCCTGGGGAGGGCCCCAACCCCTGAAGGGATAGGAACGGGTCACCCCCAAAATGCTAGGGATAGGAATGGGTCACCCCCAAAATGCAGAGATGGGGATGAAATTAGCTGATGTTCTCAGTGAATCTGCCTAGCAGGTTGAGACAGCCTGTTCTGCTGCCTACACCCCGTGTGGACAAGGATGGATTAGGGTCAGTAATCTTAGATTATTTATTTAAGACAGTTGTATACCCTCCTTTGCGAGAGCCTCAGGATGGCTTACATGAATAAAATTCCAAAATACATGGCAATATAATATAAATAACATAAAACATTCCACAATATATCCTCTCTTAATAAAAATAATAAAAAGGAAACTATACAAATTAGCAGTATTAATAAAACAGTATTAGTGATTAACATGAAGGTTAAATGAAAAGGTCTTACCTGGCGCCAAAAAGAGTAGAGGGTTGGCACCAGGTGTACCTCTCTGGGGAGCATGTTCCATAGTCCGGGTGCCACCACAGAGAAGGCCCTTCTCCGCGTGGAGACCCTCCGTACTTCCCTCAAAGAGGGTTCCCGGAGCAAGGCCTCCCCTGCTGATCTTAAGGGGCATGAGGGCATATAAGGGAAAAATTCAGGTATCCAGGACCCAAGCCGTTTAGGGCTTTGTGGGTAAGTACCAGCACCTTGAATTGGGCCTGGACTTCAGTTCGGAGCCAGTGAAGCTGGCAGAGGCTGGTATTAAATTAAATGGCCAATCCCCGTCAGCAGCCTAGCAACTCTATTTTGCACCAATTGAAGTATCCAGGCCATTTTCAAGGGCATCTCCAAGCAGAATGCGTTACCAGGGAAGTAACCAGAGTGTGTGTCACCGTTGCTAGGCAGTGCTCGTCCAGGTAAGGACGCAGCTGTTGGATCAGCCAAAGTTGGAGGAAGGCACTCCTTGCCACCGCCATCAGCGGGGCCTCTAGGGACAGATCTGGGTCCACAGTCAGGGTGCATTATGGCGTTGCGCTACCCATGGGGCGGCACTGGAAGACCTGGCACCCAGAGAGTGGACCCAAGAGACACGGGTTCCCTGGACACCGTCTTCCTCAATATGAAGTTGGACTGCAAAGTACTTCAGTTGCACTGGTGCTTTCTAAGTTTAGACAGAAACAAAGCACACTTTCCCAGCATGCCCTAGGCAGCTGAACTGGGGCATGCTGGGAGTTCTAGGCCTTCTTTCCTTTCTAAACTTGCATAGGTGTGCTCCCTGAACCTTTCTCTTCCTTTGCTTATGGCTGGAGCATCTTTCCAGGAGCTTCATGATGTAGCTGATGGAGGAAATGCAGCGCTCTGCTTTGTATTCATTAAAGCAGGAAGCACTCTTTTTTCCTGTCCGTATAAACAGGAAAAATAAGTTGGCGGTTTGCATGCAGAAGCATTTGACCAAGATAAGTCTTGCTAGTACATCCGGGTTCATGCAGATACGAATTGTTTATCTGTGAATTTCTTCAGCCTTTTACCATGACTGAAACAATGATGCCTGGAATAAAAACACTTTTGCACTATCTAAGTCATGGAAGTCATTCACAGTTCACAAGTCATGGAAGGGTTTTGGTGCTTCTTGTTTTAAACATTTTTGTGGGGCTGCTATAAAAATGCTCAAGCAAGCAGTTTCCCCTAAGCAACAGTGCCCCCATTTTCTCCTTCTTTGAGACTTCAGGAGTCCTGCCCCTAAGGTATTGCAGGTACACATTAAAGCTCTAAACCAGGCAGAGCTGAAGAAATCCAGCTCAGCTGGGGATACCATTCTGGCCTTTTAGGGTTTCCCAAGATGGTTCCCCCCCACAATAACTGGGTAGATTCTGGGCTACTCTGCAGTTCTGCTCTTGCATTTCAAAATGCTGGAAAGGTCTCTTCTAGGTATTTTCAGCATGTCTTTGGCTCCACCCCCTTTGCCTGCAAGCCACACCCATCCCTGGACCACCGCGCCCCCCCCCCCCCACCCCCCAGTTCTCCAAAATGGGATTTCACACCCCTAGTCTGCTTTGGCACCTGAACCAGCAACCCCAAGAAATTCTGGGTCCTCTTTCAGGCAGTAAACAAATACATAACCCACAAAGTATCAAACTTTTTTTCTGTCCTCTATGGGTACCCCAAATCAGGGTCTTCACTCTGGTGGGTGGGAGGACCCATGTAGGCTGTGGGGCTCACCCAGTGATTCTTGGTATGAAGTGTGGCAAGAGGGGGGTGAGAATTTTCATCTGCAGAATAATCTAGAGGCAAGGGGGAGGTATGGCCTCTTTGGGGGTGGCCCCTTGAAAAGGAGGGAAGGTGGCTGCAGGGGCGGGGGTGCAGATGGAGCAAAGAACTGGGATTCCACCTTTTGAGTCCTTCCACCCCTGCCTCTTATGTTACTGCAAAACTGTTCTTGGGGAAGAGAAGAAAGTCAAGAAATGTGGTGGAGAGTCATTATTGTTGATCCCCCTCTGTTAAAGTGGCTTGTGAAGGTATCCTCTACTCCACGGTTATCTTCACAACAACCCTGTGAGGTAGGCTAGGCTGAGGGTGCATGACAGGCCTAAAGTCACCTAGAGGGCGGAGTGTGGACGAGAATTTAACATCATTTTGATAATGAAGTCGCTGTTATCAGGACGCTATAATCCCCCCTTCCCCCCCCATTCCCGTGGGCTGGATTCCCTAGAAAAAGAGCGAGGGCCAAGCACAGCCCCGCTCCACTGGAAGGCCTTTTCGCAATCGCTATTACACGAGGGATGAAGGAACCGCGAACTTCTATAAGCGCACCCTCCCTGGAGGAGCTCTCGGCGGGACATAAATTAACGAAATTAACTCCTTGATGCAACAGACTGCAATTCGTCAGGCCTAGTTTTCTCCCTTCCTTTTTGCATTCGCGAATGGGGAGAAATGCAGCCTATTCCGCCTTTAAATAAGGGGCCGGACGCGTTCCTGGTTACCTTGCAGCTACTCCTTTTACCTGGGGAGCATTTCCTGGGGATCGCGGATGCGAATTCTTTCCACGAAGGAAATATACCCCGCATGGACCTGAGGGACAGTTTTCCTGGCACCCCTTTTTGGGGGAAGGAACCGAAATTCCCGGGGAGCAGAGTTCGAATGTACCCGTCAGGTCGAACCCGCCCAAGTTCAAACATCCCTAACCAATGGCTGTCCCGCTGTGGGCATTTAGGACTTCATCCTCCCCAGGATTTAAAAACAAGGGACAACAAAACCCATCTGCCACGTTCCCCCTACACACCCCGCTCCGGCCTTCCAAGAACCCCGCGTCCCCTTTAAGCGAGGACTGCGACGTCATGCGACCGAGAGTAACCGAGAGGGTTTGTATCAGTCGGCGTGGAATGTTGGCAGCCCCGGCGTTCGGGATCCGAACGTTGCCGGCCGGCGAAGGGGCGTGGCCTGTGCGGAAGACTTTGATTGTCGGCCGCCGGTGTTCGGGCGGGCGCGTAAAGCGCGCGGTGAATGGGGAAGGGCTCTCGGCTTCGGGGGCCGCAGAACTGCTTGACTCAGCCGGTACGCCGCACCACAAGTCCCTAGGAAAAGGTGGGGGAGGGAAAGAGGAGGAACGTGGGGGGCGGAGTACTTGCACGGGGCAAATGCGTTTGGGGCGCTTCTGTGAGCATAGGTGAGGGGGTGCGATGCATTGCAAACTAAAGTCTTGCGGCCCCTCCCCTCCCCTCCCCTCCCACACACAAACTGGGTATCACGGTTGCAATGAACTAGCCTGGTGCACAGAAAATAAACCCGCCCCATCCCTCTCCTTTAAAGTGGGCGGTCTCCAGAAAATGCTTGATTCATGGTTGGGCGTTGATTTTGAAGATGATTGGATTCAAGGATCGGGGCCGTGGGTCCTGCGCTTCCTGCGAGTGACCCACTGAACAGCGCGCTGGGACGCGGAGCGGGCGCGCGTAAAGTGAAAAGTGTTTGGGGAGGACGGAGAGTAAATTCGGGGTACCCCCGTTCCTGTTAGAGCAGCTCTCTCCTACTTCTAGTTTTAAGCCGTGCACGCTGGTTCTGGAATAATCCCCCCGAACTGCATGAGATTAAAAGCGAGAGATTAAAAGCGGCACCGTTACACGTTACACAACGAGAGTTACACGTTGTGAACACATTTCATTACGTGAAACGACACTTAGTTTGGTAAAAAACCTGTTGTCTTCTGTCTTGGGAGTGTGGATTCACACTGTGGTAATGTTTCTAAAGTAGCTTCCCCCAACCCAACACGCACCAGATGCCTTGGACTACAAATCCCATAATCCTCCAGGCAGCAATGCTTAGTTCCCCCCCCCCTCCACCCCGGATGCATACGAAAGTAAAGATCTACAGGTGAGATGAGGTGGAGAGAATCAAGCCGTGCTGGTCGAAGGTATTATGGGAGATGAAATCAAGCATTTTTGGAAAGTGGTAGGTTGAGGAAGACTGCAAATTAATTCATGTGGGTTATACCTCTTAGTTTAAAGAAGGTAAATAGCTGCTAAAGCTTTGATGATCGAGTGCGACGGGCATACCCAAAGTCCCAGTTTCTGATGAATTTGTACCTCACTTAGGAGCACCTAGGAGTAAGCATAATACTTCGGGCTCACCCATCCCATCTGCCTGTCCATTTTGGTAATACAGAATTTTTTCAGCACTTTGTTACCCAGTAAAACTGTGGTTTTAGGAGTGGTGTGGGATTTGATAGGGGAGAGATAGGTAAGATGGATATCTTAAGCATATTCCTTGGGTGTTGGGGGAGTAACCAAGTATGTTTTTTGTTGGTGTGCTATATTTGTGGGGGGAAATGACTGGAAATAATCCCTAGCCGTCACCAGTATTTCAGCTTTTAATGATTTCTTAAAAATGTTCCCTGGCATGGGCTGAATGGCTTGAGATGTCACAGAATGTTCCAGAATAGGCAGGAGAGGAATCGGTCACGGGATGTTGATAGTCGGTGCAACTGGTGTTGGTTAAGCACCTGCTTGGTGGAACGGAGCGAGGGACAGAAGGATTGGTTTGTATGTGCGACGCAGGGAGCTGGGCTCAATTTGGCATGTTGATTTAAGGGGCTGGTGGGAGAAAACCTCCGAAAGTATTTGCACAGATTGTATGGGATATGTGGTACATGGTATCCAAATCCCTTCTGCTCTGAGCAACACAATCCCTACCCTCTTGTAATAAGATTACCTAATAATTTCCTGGCAAAGAAACACAATCCCGATTTCCTCCAGCCCCATAAGAACCTTTGTTGCGCTGGACAAAGTAATCGCCCAATTAAGTCCAAGAAAGAGGGCATTGAAAATGGATTGTTAATGAGCTAAGAGGTTGGTTTATCCAACTCTAGTGACAGCTGCCTCAACCTAATTAACCATCATGGGGGACTGGAGTTTTAGTTCAACACACCTGGAAGGCACCAGGTTAGGAAAGTTTACCTGATACCTGAAATCCCTTTTTACCTGCCAGTACTAGAGATGTTCACCTCCACTGACACATTGATACTTACACAGGCTTAGCTTGGCAGGAGACAAAATAAATGGCCATAAAACAAATGAAGAAGAGACTTGGAATTTACCTGTCAAAGAGATGAAGAAAGGTAAGCACAGAAAGAATTCATAGGAAACATAATTTTTTCAGGGTAAGTATCAAACATTCCGAACAAAACAAAAAAACATGTTGCAGTTTTCATTCATGTGATGTGGATTTATGAAAGTAGATATCGGGTATAAATACTGTGCGTGTGTATATATATATGCTATGCTAGTTGGGAAGTAATGTCCAACCCCTCATGACTTCATGGACAATATTCCTCCAGGCTCTCCTATCCTCCACCATCCCCTGGAGTCCACCTTAGCTGACACTGACTACCCCAGTGACCCCATCCAGCCACTTCATCCTCTGCCACCCCCTCCTTCTTTGGCCCTCAATCCTTCCCAGCATCAGGCTCTTCTCCAGGGAGTCCTTCCTTCTTATTAGGTGGCCAAAGCATTTGAGCTTCATCTTCACTATCTGGCCTTCTAAAGAGCAGTCAGGGTTGATCTCCTCTAGGACTGACCGGTTTGATCGCCTTGCGGTCCAAGGAACTCGCAGGAGTCTCCGCCAGCACCACAATCCAAAGGCCTCAATCCTTTGGCGCTCAGCCTTCCTTCTGGTCCAGCTTTCACAGCCATGCATTGCAACTGGGAAAACCGTAGCCTGGACTATACGCACTTTTGTTGGCAGGGTGATGTCTCTGCTTTTTAGTATGCTGTCTAGATTTGCCATAGCTCTCCTCCCCAGGAGCAAGCGCCTTTTAATTTCTTGGCTGGAGTCCCCATCTGTGCTGATCTTGGTGCCCAGGAAAATAAAATCTGTCACTACCTCCATTTTTTCCCCATCTATTTGCCAGAAAGGAATGTGACTGGATGCCACGATCTTAGTTTTTTGTTTTTTTTTGTTGAGTTTTATAACGACTCTCCCTATATATTTATTTAAAGAATATACATTTTTATATGCTGTGTATATATTTCATGGACGGCAAAATCTCTTCTTTCTGAGGGATAGCTCTACAGTTGTTGCTGAGTTGAAAATCATGTCTGCCTCCTCACGACCCCAAGCACAACATTCCTCCGTGCTCTCCTGTCCTCCAGCATCCCCCAGAGTCCCCCTGTCCACTAATGGGAGATCTGGTGGTGCCAGGGAGGGAAGGGAGGCTGGCGGCCACACAACACGGCTTCCGCAAGAACAGGTCCTGCCAGACAAACCTTGTGGGATTCTATGAGAAGGTTTCGAGGTGCCTGGACGGAGGGGATGCAGTGGATTCCAGCAAGGCCTTTGACAAAGTGCCCCGTGATATCCTGGTGGAGAAACTGGGGAGTTTTGGGATACACCAAAGCACTGCCCGGTGGATTAGGGCTTGGTTGACTGACTGAAAGCAGAGGGTGACTAATGGTGAGGAATCATCGGGATGGCGGCCAGTGACAAGCGGGGTCCCCCAGGGCTGTGTCATGATGGTGTTCAGTGTGGATAAGTGCAAGGTCTTGCGCTTGGGGCATAGGAATGGGTGCCATAAGTGCAGGTTAGGGGACAAGTGGCTGGAGAGCAGCACTTGTGAAAGGGACCTCAGGGTGCTGGTTGACTGCAGGCTGAACATGAGCCAGCCGTGTGATGCGGTGGCCAAGAGGGCGAACCCCATCCTTGGCTGCATAGCCAGAAGTGTGGCTTCTAGATCGAGAGAGGTGTTACTGCCACTCTACACAACTCTGGTGTGCCTGCAACTGCAGTATTGTGCTCAGTTTTGGGCCCCTTATTACAGGAAGGATATAGCCAGGTTGGAGTCAGTGCAGCGAAGGGCCACAAGGCTGGTGGCCGGTTTGCAGGGGATGCTGTATGAGGTGAAATTGAGGGAACTGGGTGTCCTCAGCCTGGAGGAGACTCAGGGGATCTGTTGGTGACATACAGGTATGTGAGGGGTGTCACACGGAGGTGGGCAGAGACCTGTTCTCCCCTGCAGAGGAAGGCAGGACGCGCTCCAACAGAGCAAAGCTCATGGAACCAAGGTTCAATTTGGATGCCAGGAAGCACTTCCTGATGGGCTTCCATGGGAGGTGGATGAGGCCCCATCAGTGAGGGTGTTCAAGGATAAGCTGGACATGGACATGGTGGGCCTTTCATGAACAGAGCCTGCTGGAGCAGGGGTCAGACTAGATGACCTGAGAGCTCCTTCTGACTCGCTCTGTTTCTATGTTTTTGTGCCCTCCTCCTCAGAGTCCATCCCACACATGCCACCCCAGTGACCCCATTTAGCCCCCTCATCCTCTGCCGTCTCCCCCTTCTTTTTCCTTCCATTGTTCCCAGCATCAGGGTCCTCTCCAAGGGGTCCGTCCTTCTCATTTGGTGGCCAAAGCATTTGAGCTTCAGCATCTGTCTTTCAAACGAGCCGCCAGGCCTGACCCAGCTGCCCGCAGGATCCCTCCAGCAGGAAGGTGCAAGACCCTCCCCGGCCCACATTCTCAGCAACGGGTACACGCAGGGATGCCACCCGGTGAAGGAGGGAGCCCTCGGCCAGCAAGGCCAGGAGCCAGATGGCCTCCCGCTCACGGATCTGTCCCGTCCCCCATGAAAGCCATCCGGACTGGCAGCCATCGCCTCTCCCGTGGCAGCAAATTCCACCGGTTTAACCCTGCATCGCGCCAAGTCCCTCCTTTTACCCGTCCCACCCCTCCCAGCCGTCAGGGACGGGTTCCGCCATCGGGAATGCATGAATAACCCTCCGAATTTGCTTCGCTGCAAGGGTATTGGTGGATGAAGCCCAAGTGCAGGATCTGTATCTTTCTGCACCTGTCCCCCCTCGCCCCTCCTGGCCCGACTTGGAAGGCATACCTGGACTGCCCTCATCTGCAGGCTTGTGTTCATGAAGGCATAGATGCGGGGGCCCAGTTCCTTCCAGGCCCCCTTGGCCTCCTGCAGCACGGCGAGGTTCTGGAAGGTTCGGTTCACCTGGGAGCAAGGAGCAGAAGCGTCTGGCGGGGTCACAGGAAGGACTCCCTGTTCGAACAGCA